GAAGACGCAAATCCTGCAGCGATGGGCCGAGCATTTTCGAGGCGTCCTCAACCGCCCCTCCGTCATCTCCGACGCCGCCATCGAGCGCTTGCCGCAAGTGGAGACCAACGTGGACCTCGACCTCCCGCCATCTCTCCAGGAGGCCATCAGGGCCGTGCAGCAGCTCTCCAGCGGGAAAGCACCCGGATCGGACGCAATCCCTGCTGAGGTCTACAAACACGGAAGTCCCCAACTCATGGATCACCTGACTGCGCTCTTCCAGGAGATGTGGCGTCAAGGTGAAGTCCCGCAAGATTTCAAGGACGCAACAATCGTGCATCTCTACAAGCGCAAAGGGAATCGCCAAGTCTGCGACAATCACTGTGGCATCTCCTTGCTGAACATCGCCGGGAAGATCTTCGCTCGCATCCTTCTCAACCGCCTCAATAACCACCTGGAACAGGGCCTTCTGCCGGAAAGCCAGTGCGGCTTCCGTCGTCATCGTGGGACCACGGATATGATCTTCGCCGCCCGCCAACTTCAGGAGAAGTGTCAGGAGATGCGGACCCACCTGTACTCTACCTTCGTGGACCTGACGAAAGCCTTCGACACGGTGAATCGTGAAGGACTGTAGAAGATCATGCAGAAATTCGGCTGTCCAGAGCGATTCACTCATATGGTGCGTCAGCTGCACGACGGTATGATGGCGCGAGTCACGGACAACGGAGCTGTCTCAGAGGCATTCGCAGTGACTAACGGAGTGAAACAGGGATGCGTGCTGGCACCAACCCTCTTCAGTCTTATGTTCTCTGCCATGCTGATGGACGCCTACCGCGACGAACGTCCCGGGATTCGCATCGCCTACAGGACGGACGGTCACCTGCTGAATCAACGGCGGATGCACTTCCAATCACGCGTATCCACAACAACCGTTCACGAACTCCTCTTCGCCGACGACTGCGCCCTGAACACCACCTCAGAAGAGGAGATGCAACGGAGCATGGACCTGTTCTCCGCCGCTTGCGAGAACTTCGGTCTGATCATTAACACGCAGAAGACGGTGGTGATGCACCAACCGCCACCCAACTCAGCCACAGCCCCCAACGCGTCGCCACAAATCAGCGTGAATGGGACCCTACTGCAAGTGGTGGAGAACTTCCCTTACCTGGGCAGTACTCTCTCCCGCACCACCAAGATTGATGACGAAGTCGCCAACAGGATCTCGAGAACCAGTCAAGCCTTCGGTCGTCTCCGAAGCACAGTTTGGAATCGTCACGGTCTTCAACTGAACACGAAGCTGAAGATGTACAAGGCCGTTATCCTGCCGACGGTACTGTACGGAGCAGAGACCTGGACGGTGTACACGAGGCAGGCACGCCGTCTGAACCACTTCCACCTCAGTTGTCTTCGTCGCATCCTGCGGCTGAACTGGCAGGATCGCATCCCCGACACTGATGTGCTGGAACGAACGGGAATGCTCAGCATCTACTCCATGTTGAGACAAATGCAGCTGCGCTGGAGTGGCCACCTGGTGCGCATGGACGACGAGCGACTACCCAAACGACTCTTCTACGGAGACGTCGTGACGGGTTCTCGTCGTCAAGGAGGCCCAATTCGTCGATACAAGGATACCCTGAAGTCCTGCCTGAAGCTACTGCAAATCAACCCGACCAACTGGGAAGAGCTCGCCTGCGATCGTCCGGCATGGAGGAGAACAGTGAAGACGGGCGCTGCTATCCACGAAGCCAACCGCATCGCCGCCGCCAAAGCGAAACGCGAAGCCCGCAAATCACAACTGCGCCCAGTCAGCAACACTGCCGCACAACTGCTTCCAACGTGTCCTCGATGTAAGCGGACATTCCGGGCTCGAATCGGCCTTGTTGGACATCTTCGGATCAAATGTACCTCTCGAACTGCACCAAACTTCATCCCCCCGCCCGCGTCATCCTCGTCCTCTCTGCCGCCGAATAACTCTGTGAATACTTCTGCACCACCACTTCCATCCTCCTCCTCCTCCTCCTCCTCCTCCTCCTCCACCACCACCACCACCACCACCCCCACCACCACCACCACTGCCCCAACGGCGGCCGCTCAGGCAGCCGTCTCGCACATCTCCGACCGCGACACAACAACCGGCACCACCCCCGCCTCTCCTGACTCCAGCAATGAGAATCAGGACTACACCTGTCCTCACTGCGACCGCACCTTCACCTCACACATCGGCCTGGTCGGTCACTTGCGAATCCATCGCACAGAGACCGGACAACCAGTGCCTGGAGCACCAACCTACACCCACCAAGCTCGTCTCAACTGTCCACACTGTCCTTGCACTTTCAGGCACCGCATGGGCCTATTCGGCCACATGCGCATCCACGACGACCTGCGGTAGACAACCGCCGGGTACACCACACATCCACACACTCCCTACCCTCCTCCACCATCACCAACACACATCAACACTTACCCACCGCATGCACCAACTGCCACCTACCACGCAAGTGGGAAGTCCGCATCTCGACTCGGTCCCCATGCGGCTTCGGCTGTACGGGTGATTTGAGTCCGAGACTATCCCGACACTTCAAGTGTCGTGGATAGGAAGGTTGCTGATTGATGCCCGCTCTCGGTTCACGCAGTTCGTCGCGTTGTGTGTGTGTGCTGTGTGGAGTGGCGGACTGGTGGGCTGGGAACGGGCTGAAGCAGCACCTTCCACGGCCCTCTCACGCAAGTGAGAGACACGCCGTTCAACCCCCGTTGTGTGAAATCCTGGTGTTTGTGTGTGTATGGGGGGCCAGGTCGTGCTGTGGCGCGTGCAGTCACGGTCAGTCGACCGTGGCAGCCACCGCGCCCATCCACCACTACAGTCTGCTGACAGGCTCGGACGGCGACTGGAGTGTGGTAATGGGAAGGGAGAGTGAGGTTGACGACTCAGCGCACTTTTTCCTCACTATAATCAATCTGACGCGCTTGAAGCTATCACGGTGCGCTAAAAGCCGTGGCTTGGAAGGTTGCCAACTGACGGGGTACCTTGGACCTCCTCCTTAACGGGAGGCGGTCTGAGAGTCAGGCTGCAATGGCTCCTTTTTAATGTGGCCTTTATGGCACTCCCACCACAATGTGGGATCCGAGCCAGGCGTTGGCGGCACGCCTAGGTGCGGCTTCGGCCGTGCCAGCCTCCAAATCTCTGTTCTGTTGGTTGAAATCCTGGTTATTGTTGTGTGGACCAGGGGGTGTGGTGGAACGCCAAGGTGAGGATCCGTCCGAGCCATCCACCTGCGGCCTCCCTCGTCTCCGGTCTTCTTGACTCTGTCTTGACATCGGGCTCGGGCGAGGGAGGTGGAGAGAGTGTAGGTAGATTCTACGCAAATCTACCGGCACTATAAACCCCTGCGCAAGTCACCGTCCCTGCTCCAACTGGCTGTGGGGCACACGGTGGACATCATCGAAATCGATGGTCGAACTGTCATGTCCTTTCAATGGTACAACGTAGCCGTCATTCGATTGTTTTAAACATATTGCCCTCTTTCAAGAGCAAGGATATTAAAAATTGGCTTTTTCGGAACTGAATGTTCTGCCATTTTGGCCGTGGTAATCTCTAACACCTCGGTTTTCACATTTCGTCTTTCTGTTTTGCTCTTTAACGTAATCTCACTATCCATTACATATTGTGTTTAATTTACTAAATTTATCGGCTAGCCTGCATCACTCCAGACCATGTCCTTGTTGTTTTGCAGTGATTTACTTCACGAATTCAAACTGTTGTATCCTTCTCATTCGTTATTCATATTATAAAGCGACAGAGCGCAGCTGATGAGCCGTCGCGCAATTTACTGGCAAAATCACACTCTGCTTTGCATGCCTGCTTCACTTTGTATCGGGAAAAATGCTTCAAATTTCTATATGAAAAAGTTCCATTTTTTACTCCAACCATGTCTAAGTGCCATAGAGATGAAAAAACTGACGGAAGAATGGAGGTGAGGAAAAGTTCATTCAGACATCTGCAAATAAAACCCTTTAACGTGGTGTGGACGATTCGCGCGGCATGATTGGGGCTGCGCCAGGAGACTGCGTCTTCACCTTCGTATGAGCAAACTGACATGGATTTGACGCTGCGAGTATGCAGGCATCAATGTGTTTTCGTGCATAATCAGTTTCCGCGTGTACGCGGACGTGAAAGGTTTTCGCGCATTGTGCGATCAGTATTTGCATAAACCGGGTCATTCTAGCAGTCGTTCTGAAAAAAATGTACAACAGAGAGACTATGGGAATTATATTTCCGTCGATCTCGGTACTAGAGTGTTTGCACATCTAAGGCGAAGTCACTGTCTTGTTAGATGTTTTAAACGCTGTCGCCCGGTTTTTCAAAAGACTCCACACGCATGGAACAGTACAGTTTGCGTCTGTCGGGGTGATGTGGCGTCTATACACGTCTCAAATAGCCAAAGCGGAGTGATTTACACTTCACTGTCTGTTTACATCAACGTTCACGTGCTTTACATTTTAATGAAGACGATTGAATTAAATTACTGTCAGAGTAAATTTAGGTAATTACTGCATCCATTAACCCAGCGCCGGATGAGAGGCCGAGTAGGATAACGAACCAATGGATGGAAAGGGAAAAAGGAGTGGGGCCGACCCTGAGACATTCAAACTCACTATATTTTTGTGCATTACTGCAGTAGGTGGGCTAACTCATGATACTTTCACCGAAATTCTAAAATGCGCTTTCAAATCGAAAGGATTACTGGAGTAGGTTTGTAATATCAATCACCGTGCAACATAATCCCATAACTTATTTCCGGTAGCATGAGAAAACCGCAGTTCTCAAGAAATGACTACTTAATTAGCATGCATTTTTTGTTGATTTTCGGTCGTCTTCGTAAATTCAAACATAGTTCATAGAAAACATGCATAGGATATTGTTTCTTTCATTCATTTGATAGAAAAGTAGATCTTCTTTAAATCTTCTACTTGAAGTAAGGGTATAATTCGGTTTCAAATACTTTTCCAGTTCCCGAATAATTTTTAATCCGACCTGTCGTTGCACTTGCATTCAGGGTTTCCAAACTACAAGTTGTACATTTTCGGTGTACGGAGAAGCGTACATTTCTCTACGGTATTAAGAGGAGACCATATGGAGTTCGTAAAATTTGGGCAGTAAATCTAAGCCATAATGCAAAATTTACAAGAAACCTAAGCAAATCCAGAGACGCGACATGTTATTGGTACATTTTATGATCTCAAAAAACCTTACAGTTAGAAACATTTTTGAAACCGAATTATACCCTTCCTTCAAGTGTAGAATTTTAATAAGATCTAGTTTTATATCAAATAAATGGAAGACATAATATTTTTGTGCATTTTTTCTATAAATTATATTTAAATTTATAAGGGCATCGAACATCAAGGGAAATTTCATGCTATTTAAGTAGCCATTCCTTACAGAGTTTGGTCTTTACATGCGGCCGGAAAGAAAATCGTTCAAACGCTGGCATCCTGAAGTAACTGTATTACTATGGGATTATGCTGCACGGTGACTGACATTACAAAGAACCTATTAAAGAAGGAGACACGATCGCTGGAACAAGAACTTTATTAGCCTGACGTTTCGGATTCCTGTCAGAGCCCATCATCAGTGACAAAAGCAGATACGGATAGATCATGCACAAGGGGCTGCGGTATTTGTAGGATGCAGTTGCCATGCTACCGCATACCTATGAATATTCACAGCTCCCTCCTTCATCAGGGACCGTTGCAAGTGGTGTGATGACTGCTTGATGGCCGACATTCGAGTCGATAATTGCTGCAATTTCATCACGTGTGCTGGATGTTGGTGAGATGATTACTCGACCGTCTGACCCACCGACCCTGGCGTCGGGAACAGGGTTCACCTGTGCGCTCCTTGCGTGACATATTACTTCGTTTAGGCGAAGTCTCAGCATCTGGTATGGAATGGAGAGGTCGTTGCACTTGTTGATGGACTGGTGGCCAGTGAACCATGACTCAAGCAGATCGCGGCTCACGCGGTTGTCACTTCTTGCGAGAATTTCGGCCTCCTCGAATTTGAATGTGTGGCTGATCTCGTCGAATGAGCCACAACTTGAGAACTGGCGTCATTTCTCCGCACCGCTGCAGCGTGCTCGGTCATTCAGCCCCGAATTCGAAACGCCAGGCTAATAAAGTTCTTGTCCCAGCCATCGTGTCTCCTTTTTCAAGACTGCCTCCTAGAACTCGTTTCTTTGCTTCTACTGACAATGTAACTATTCATATTGACCCAACTGTGAAAAACTCGGCGCCTCGGTGGGATTCGAACCCATGCAGTAAGGGGGAAGGCTTTAGTACAGCCAACGCTCTAACCACCTGAGCTACGAGGCCCCGCCGGACGACGCGAGTTTTATCACACTTGGGTCAAGTTACCCGCCCAAACTCCTGCAACTTCTGGAATCCACCAAATCTGATACAGTAAGTTGACTGCCCAAGCAGGATTTCCTAAGTAATTCACCTAGAATCCGCCATATGACTACTAGGCTCACGTAATTCATTGATATTTTGGCAGATTCTGAATAATTCCGACGGGGCCTCGTAGCTCAGGTGGTTAGAGCATTGGCTGTACTAAAGCCTTCCCCCTTACTGCGTGGGTTCGAATGCCACCGAGGCGCCTAGTTTTTACAGTTGGGTCAACATGAATTATTCAAAATCTGCCAAAATATCAATGAATGTAACTATTATAAAAATGACGGGCTTGAATCTATCACGACGCGCTAAATGCATTTGCTTGAAAGGTTGCCGACTGACGGTATAAGTCAGACCTCATAGTTGACCCTGTATTTGTTTGAATCTATGCCTGCGAGAGGGAAGAGAGAGTGACCGGGGACTCCATTCCCAGATCACTTCAGCGCATGTCTTCACTACAAACAATATGACGCGCGCTAAACTCCTAGGATGCGTTAGAAGCCGTTAGCTTGAAAGCCTGCCAGCTGGCGAGATAACTCAGTCCTCCTCTCGGGACGAAAAGTCAGGCTGCAATGGCGCCTTCTGAAAGTGCCCCTGATGGCACTCTCACTCATTTGGGAGACAGGACGCAAACTGTACTGTTCCATGCATGTAGAGTCTTTTGGAAACCGAGCCGCCTTCCCGTTTGTTGTTTGTGTGAAAACCGTGTGCAGGCCAGGCGTGTGGGGCGTGGACTGGCTCCAGCCAGTCGCTGACGTCGGGCTCAAATGCGTGATGGAGGACAGACCGCGGTAGATACAGCATAAATCACGCGCGTCACGTCTCTGCGCCCGCCATGCTGTGACCCACACGATGCACCTCGTCGGTAACGGCGGTCGAAATGCCATATTGCATCACCCAGGGTTTTAAAGTAAAGCAACGATTTTGCCTGTCGGAAAT